AAGACAGGTAGAAACAAATAGCACGGTAGTTGCGTTAAAGTGCAAATGGAAGATAAGAAGGTAGGTCTTATGTAAGCCTGTCTTTTGTAGGAAAATTGCCCGAACAGATAGAAGATACACCATGTTTTAAGCGTTCCAATCAAATAGAAGAAACCCATGAGCAGTATCTTCTAAAATAGGGCAACGCATTATAATGCTTATGATACATGGCGGATGCAACTGTGCCATCCCGCCATCTTTCCACAGCCCTCACAGTTCGTTTTGAATCCCTGAGTCTGTTCGCCAATGGAATCTAGATAAAGGAGAGTTGTTCAAGATGACAAATGTGAATGATCGGGCGAACAGCTGTTAGAAAGGACAATATTGCAATAACGGAATGATATTCTTGAAAAGAGCGTACCTATGAAGTTGCCGTACAACGAAACTTCCATGAAGACGGGGATATATAATATATATATATATAATATTAGAGAGAGAGAGCAGGCTTTCACTTTCGAGAAGGCATTTCAATTCAGACTTGGGAAAGACACCGTTTCTTTTGAAAGGCAACACATGTTTGTGAAGGAAAATTTTAGAGTATGTGGGAGGCTTGTTCAATGGAGGAGACTTGTATGATCGAGGAGGATTGTGTTAAGGTGGGAAGCCCACCCACGAAGTGGTGACTTTTATCAAAGAGGACACATGCACATGAATGTGAGGTTTGGAAAAATCGCGGTGGAAAGGGACAAAATGTCAACATGAGACAATTTTTGAACAGACCCCTAGAGAAAGACAACGCATTTCTTGATGCAGGATGAGATCATCTCGGGCGCTGGATTTGTTGTCTGTGGTGTAGCTGATTTTTGGAAGTTGATACACAATCAACAGATCAGAGAATAAACCAGTATGAACTTGGATTCACTCTCCAGATGAGCAAAGCAGTCAAAGCACTCAAACAAAGCAAGACAAGGCAAATAGCAATCGAAAAGGATAGGGCATTAAAGTTGTTTCTCAGATTGCTTTGGTTCTTTGGACTCATGGAATGTGTTTATGTATGTATGTATGTATGTATGTATGTATGTATGTAT